GTTTGGATCTCAGGAGCTAACAACGTAGATATGCTCCCTCTATAGGTATCCACACAAACAGCTCTCTAACTCAAATAGCGTGCTAGCGCTCTCAACGTCAATTCTTCTTCGAAAGTTAATTTTCCTTTCTATAAGGTGTTTCATGGCTCTCAGAGTGTTTTTGACATCAAAAATTTTCTAACTCTCTCTCTGCCTTTATAAAGACGTCCTTATTTATATATAGTATATAGAGAAGGGTTTTTGTCTTTCACTTAAAAGCTCATGAAAATTTAATTAAATTTATCTCATAAATTTAATCCATAATATCATATTTAATTCAAATTTATCTTATAAATTTAAATTATAAAATTGACATGATATTCTCTCTTATCATGTTAGTTATTAAATGTAATCTATCTTATAAAATTAAATTTAAAACTAACATAAGATAATATAATATAATATAATGTAATATATATCACATACACATATTATATATATACAAATATATATACATATATATTTTGAAAATATATATATTATATTATCTATATTTAATATTATATATCATATACATATATCTCATATATGTATATATATATATTTACATATATGGATATATGTATATTTTGAAAATATAAATATACATACATATATATAAAATTATATTTTAAATTTTATATTTCATATAAATATATATAAATATTTATCAAATAAATATTCATATATATATAAAATTCATTCACTCTATATTACATTCATTGAATCTAGACATATTCCAGATTCAACAAATTTGGACATTATAACTCAAGTTGGGCCGTTCTTGTGTGCGACCCTGTAGACCCATAGGAAATTGGTAGTGGGCTAATTTGCTATTAGCCCACAAGTTACAAGTAGCCTCTAGCAAGATATTGCAACTACCCAATTTACATAGAAATCAATGATCCAATATAACCTGTAATGCAACCATATCACATCCCTTTTGTCACGTGATATTTCGGTCAAGTACGAGACATGAAATTGTCATTTTCCTTTACTTGATCATTACTTTCTCGATCTCTAAGTAGATTGAAAATAGCATTGAAAAAACCCTTTTTATTGTAGTATGGCCATACATTTTCTCAGTCTTACTCATTGAGGGGTCCAGTAATATCTATCACTTAATGTGAGGGACAAATTCCATCTTGACTAGTCATATTCCTCTACATAAATATCACTAAACTCAATCATAGCCTTTATGATCACCTGGTCAAAGGTGACTTTTGACTAGGTCAAAGTTGAGTAGTCATCATGTAAGAATCCATAATGATATCAAGTCAAAGGGCTTAGTGATATAGTTACATATGAGATAAGCTTATGACTTGTACCATGCAACTTTCTCATAGTGGGTCAGTCCAGTACCTTGTACTCTTTCAAGTGTTTATGACTTTAATTCATATCTCTATAATTAATTAAAGTCATACTAGTCTTGTTTCATCTATGATCCCTCAAAGATAACCCACCATGGACATTTAAGACAATCACTATAGTTTATCTAGGGATACAGTTATCATACTGAACATGCAATTATTATGATAACAAAAGATAAATTCATTAAATAATAATATGCTTAATACAATGATTGACCCTAGGGCATAATTTTCAATAGTTATATTATGTCGAAGGTGCCCTAGTAGAGGGTATGTGGGTAGGCTTAAATGCGAAACAGGCAAGTATATATTGTGTTGTAACTTGTTTCATATTCAAACTATAAAGTCCCATCTCAACCTGCGCTTTACCATTCCACCACACAATTGACAAATCGAAATTAGAGTAATAGCCCTTTATTTGTTTTCAAAATCGTGAGATCCTGACTTCTTAAAATATATATTCAAATAAGAGGGCTACCAAAAGTGTGAATACAATCATATGACTCAAAAAGTCATAACCTTATAACCCTAAAAATGGGCCATGCGCTGTGGTGTGCAGCGTATGCTTTGCGGCATGTGGGATAGAATCACTTGCCTTGTTTCTAATTACAACATGCACTGTGGTGGGTACATCTGACATCCAAAATTCTGCTATCATTTTGACAACAAAAATGCCAAACTTTCAGTATGTGCCATTTTCACATCCAATGTCCGATTGGAGTGATTCAAGAACCCACATAAAGCTTGCAATGTGTACTAGCTGATAGAATAAGTTTGGATTTGATTTGATAGTTCGATCTAAAATTGGATACCTAGATGCAAAAAGTCACTTTTCTTTTAAAAACTTACACCCTAAGTGTTCAATTCTCAATCCTTATCCCATTAGATTACTCCGAGCCTTAAACTAAGTCCAAAAGGACCACATACACCTAATTAATATCATACATATCAAATATCACATCAATAGCCCATTTTGGCGTCTCATACCCACATTACACATTTGTGGTCTTATATAAGGAAATCACATATATAGCACATATTCATACATACAACTATACTTGTTCCACTTTCAACCCTCCGACTCTTGCATATGGAGTTTTGCCTTACCATATGGTGAAGAACCACATATGTGCTTGACTCTTCTAAACAGGGCTCTGCCTCAGCATTTGTGTCAAGTTCTTATAATTTATGTCAATTTCTCATTTCACAACATAATACACATTCAATTCACATAATCAATCACAATCAATACATATATACACTAGTGGAACAAGTTACAACATTAAACACTTCCTTGTCTCACATTTAAGCCTGCCCACATACCCTCCACCGGAGTACCCTTGGCACAATGCAATATCATATATATATACAAGCAAGATTCACAACATAATTCACTTTCTCATATTCACATACATATATGCATCTTAGTTGGCAATTTAACTTAATAAATAACTTTATACATTCATTTCAACTCTAAGGTAGTCATACCATTACCTATTAAGGCTACTCTTCCTCACTTCCTTCCTTAGCCTTCTCAAGATCTTTTCACCTGTGTTCAAAAGTAACAGGGTGAGACATATATTCTAGTAACTCGAAGGTAACCCCAATTACCAGTTAGTAAGCAAAATCATAAACAAGTGACAAAATAGTATGAATAATGACAAAAGCAATAACAAATGCATATACAAGAATTTATTCTCATCAATCTCATTATGCTCATGTAATGTAGTCCTAGTTTTCCCTAATAGAGTAAACTCTACTCCCAAACCAGGCCCTCCAGTCACCTGGAACAGGGCCTACCATACTACTGCTCATACTAGGTTATTTTTATATGGATGGTCTCCTAAGTCTGTCATGGCAGAGTCAAGCTCTATGCTTTAAATTATCAGGACTTCCTAGCCTTATACTGAGAAAGACCACAGCCACCTACCCTAGTCTAGGGTAATCTCATGGATTATTCAATATCTTAGGTCTATCATGGTGGAGTCAAGCTTTATACTCTGGATTATTAAGGTTTCTTTTCCTAGGTTCATCCTAGTAGAGTCAAACTCTATGCTCTGTATCATTAGGACTTCCTCAATCTCCTCATAGTAGGGCTGTGTTTCCCCTACCATAATCCATATATCATGTGGATGCAATGCATGTCAGTGCACGTGTCACTTCTCAAATTCATTTCAATCAATACTCACACACTCGCATGCATATACTTTCACAATGCCACTACTCTATCAGTTCACAATACAATGCATGTAGTTATATTAAAATACTTGCAAATAATTTCACAAACAAACAAGTAAAAGGGCTACTCCAGTTACCTTTAATCATTGCTACTAAGGGCTACCAATCAAGCTAAACTCTTAGGGGTGCAGATTCTCACGAGCAACTCCAAGAGTTCTTAATCTACATAATACAATACCCCTTAGTCGATTCTCAACACAATTTATAGGCATTTATTCGACTAAACCGAATCCCTTAACACATAAAATAGTTCAATTGAACCCTTTCCAATTCACTTATCCATTATTTATGATCACTTACTGATAGGAAATTAGTCGCTTATCCTCAAAATTACACTAAAGCTAACCCTAATGCAATATAGGGCCAACCCTAGGTCATCTCCCAAGGAATGGTTTTAAGTCTAATTGAAAGTTATCTAGTGAAATAAATCAACCAAAGTTTGTAGGAATTTAGTTATCTAGCTAATTATCTAAACTAATTACCTAATATGCAAGTAATTAAAATGCTAGTGAAAGTGAGTGAAATGAACTTCCCTTTTTACAATAATGGAACCCTAGAGATTAGTTGATTTTGGACTCATTATCTTCTCATGATTAGGCTAAGTTTAGCTTCCCTTTCCTCTTGACTAAAGCTGTCATGACTTAAGAAAATTATCCTAAGCCAATTAACCTAATTAGCTAACCTCCCTAGGTCTTAGATTAAAGTCCCTAGTTCAATTAACCAATTGGTGAAGACATTAGCCAAGTGATTCATTCAAAATCCTCTCTCAACAGCCATGGTCAAACACATAAATTGAGCAACCACAAGATTATGTCAAGCTACTCAACAACACAAGCATTAACACCACAAGATTATGCAATATTAACACAAGAAATTCACTAATTGAAAAACACAAGATTATGTGCCAAACAAAGAGTGGCAAAATTCAGTCATGGCTGTCCAAGGAAGAAATTAAATGAAACAATTCTCTCTTTACATCAACATCAAATTCAAATTAGAATTTATAAGCTAAGATGATTAAACCCTAGATTAAGGAATCTAACCATCTAGTAAAAAGAGAAGAGGATAGGAAACAAAAGAACTTAGCCAATTTGAAGCTCAAGACTCATCCTCCATCTTCATCTCTCTAGGATTCCACAAAGAAACTTAGCCAATCTTCATCTTCAAGAACCCTAGTGATTGCTTGTGAAGGCCAAACTCCATAGCTCTTGAATGATGAAAATGAGCTTCAATCCTTGTGAAAATGGAAGGGATGGAACGAAAATGAAGAGAGGAGAAGAATGGTATGAGTTTTGTGGAGGTTTGGTGGCTGAAAATGGAGGTTAGGGTGCTGGAAAATGAAGAACAAAAGAGAGAAAATGAAGAACACTATGAACAAGAGAGAGAGAATGTGGAAGATGAATGAGATATGTGTTGGATCCCATTTGAGGCTTAAAATGGCGTGCTCCTTGGTGTCTCCCATCAGCTGAAGCTTAATTAAAATAAGGAAAAAGAAATTAAAATGTAAATGGGAGCCTTGTCACACTTGCAAGGTGGCAACTTCCTATTGGTTTGTAGATGATTCCAATGTGTGCCTAATTTCCCATGTGTCATCCACATCATTTTAGCTGATTTAACCTCTCAAAATAATCATAATTCACGTGCAAACCATCAGCCATTGACCTCAAGGAGTGTTGACCTCAATTGCCCAATTGATGCACAAGTCACATGCCACCTATGTCACATAAATCACATAATTCAATTAAATAGCATATGATATAATAAAATCTAATTCATGTCCAGAATTAAATTCATATTTAGAAGGGAGAATTTATTAAATTAACCAAGTTTCAGGCTGCACAAAATTATATAAAAATTTTCACACAAAGGCAAACCAAAAACTAGGACAAACTAAGACACTTAAGAAAGTGTTGACTTTTTTATTTAATTACTCCCAAACTAAAATAAATTTTAAAAATATAATTTCACCATTCATCAACTGGACATAAAATGCACTTTGTCAATTTTTCTTGTACATTTTCTCAAAAGTTCATTTTTTGGACCAAAATGCCCCTAGTGCACTGATCTTAGAAACTTAGGCAAAGTTCCAAATCTAATGCAATGTGTGCACTTGAAGGTGATAAATAATTAATAAAATGGTCCTAATTGACAAATAAAAGTGGGTAACAAATGTGTTCTATCAATTCCCCCACACTTAGCTTTTGCACTCCGGGCAAAATCAAGTGAAAAAGGTCCCAAAAGAAACTATAAGACAAAGAAATAAGAGAAAAACATTGTTTCAAGTCACTAAAATACTAGCTCATGAACTTCTACAAATTATCAATCAATGTGGCAATAATTAGGAAAGAATTATGCACATCACAAACAAACCCTTACCAAGAATCAATGTCAAAGAGTAAGCCTCTCTAGGTTAAGTGTTTGCTCTCATCACTCAAAGTGTATAAGGTATTAAATTTCACTCAAAATTTCTTAGGATAAACCCTACTATAAATTTGTAACCCTTCTACATCTCCATCACTAAATAGCACTTGCAATCAAGAATCAAGTGGACTTTATTAGGTTGTGATATAGGTAATGAAAGGATGTCTAAGAAATGCATGTATATAAAAAATAGGGTTAGCATCAAAATAATGCTAAATCAAGATATATCCCCTTAATATGCAAAGCATAACCTAACTCAATTGAGTGAACACCTTAACACAATGAGGATGGAAAGAAATGATAAGAAATAATAAAACAAATGGAATGGATGAGCTAGGCAACTTTTTTTTTTCTTTTTTTTATCTCTTCTTTTTGTTTCTTTTTCTAGCAACTTTATTTCTTTTCTTTTTTACTATATTTTTTTTTTTCAAATCTATCTTTATTTTTTTTTTGGTTGCCCCTAACTCTTTGAAAACAATGGAAGTAATGGATGTAATGGTGTAGCAATAAAGGATAAAGAGTAATGGATAGAAAAATAATAATAGGCATCCACTCATTTGATCTAGGACATGCAATGAATATTAAAAAGACATATAAAAGTGTAACATGCATTCCTTGGGGAAAAATAGGGTGAATATATATATTTTTTATATATTTAAGAATCAAACCAAAGGCTCAAAGTGGCTAACAAAGGATAATAAATGATAATAGGTTGGCTATTTGGCTTTTGGCTATTTTTTATGAATGCCATCTCTCATCTCCTATCAAACAAGTGCGAGATATGTGGTCTTAATTAAGAAGTGAAACAAATTCTAGAGGGTAACATCACTAAGGAATTAATCACACATGAGTGTTTAGCCTCTTCCATGAAAGGGTAATATGCCACTCTAATCCATTAATTCAAGGTAAAAGAATATTCACTTCACACCTATTCAATCCTAAAAATTACCACATCTCAAGAATCAAAATATCCATTAAGAGCTAGGTAATTAAGTAACCTCAAACAAAACAAAACAAAGCAATTTTTTTATTTTTTTTTAATTTTTTTTTTGCAAAACCAAACAAACAAAACAAAATGTTTATTTCTCTCCCCCACACTTAAATCATGCATTGTCCTTAATGTATGTATAACTAGTGATAAAATAAGGTGAGATCAATAATGAATGCATAACAAAAGTGTGGTCCAGAAATTTTTTTTTTTAAACTAAAACACAAAACAAAGAAGTCAAATAAAGCAAATAAACTCTAATTTTCCTACTAGGTTCATCTCCCCCACACTTGCAATTTACTCAATCAACAAATCAAAGCATAAAGCAAAGTAAAGTAAAAAGAAAGGGTGAAGAAGATACAACCTAGTTTAAATCTCCACAAGCTCTTGAAGTTGAAATTTTCATCTTTGAGGAGTAACATGAAGCTACTCATTATCATCTTCATTCCAAGCATCTTAGGTGGAGGCTCAAGATCAATTTGTAATGGCTCCAAGATGTATGGTGTAGAATCTTTCATAACTTTATGTGGTTGATCATCTTCATGGTTAGCCAAGGTCTCTTCCATTGCAATGATAAATCCTCTAAGTACATGGGGGTTCTTGGCCATATCATCATTTAGACCTATAAAATCAACAAAGAACCCTTCCTCAAGCATATTGGGTTCTAAAGAAGTGCACTCATGATTAATTTCACTCAAACATACATCATCAATTATTTTATCAAGTAAATGATTGCTACTATTTTCAAGCACAAATGAATTAATTTCTAAACAAATAGGGCATGGAGAATCATGTGAACAATCACAAGTGAATAGGAAATTAGAACAAGTACTATGAAACAAAGCCAACTCATCATCAAAATCATCAAGCATTAAATCAATATTATTCTCATTACTATTTGGCTTTGTAAAATCAATTCTTTGATTTTCAACCTCCTTGTCATCTTGAGTTATTTTCAATTCCTTGTTCAAATCCTTAGTAGGAGCTACAGCCTTTTCAAGTTGAGCAAGTTCCTCTTTGAAATCAAGAGATGGTTTGGCTACATTGCCTTGTTCACCTACAAAAGAAGGTAAACAACCTTTCTCAAGCACATCATGGTTAGAAGAAACAAGTGCATGTGCACTATTAACAATATCACAAGAAGGAATTGGAATTTCAAGCATACAAGATACATCATCGCCACCATCAACATCCATTTCATTTTCTTTATTCAAGCTAAGTGAAGAGTCAACACTTTCAATGATATTTGAATTTAAATCAAGAGAATTATCATGTGAACTCAAAGTGTTTTTCTCCCAAGGGTATACTTTTTCACAATATGATTCATGCTCAAACATCCAAGGTGATTCAACTATAATTTCTTCATCTACGTCATCATCATTTAAATCATTATGCTCATCATTAGATAAAGTCAAATGTGAAGAAGAATCAACCTCAATAGGAATAGGAGAAATTACCTCTTGAAGTAAGGGTTGGATTGACTCCTTCTCTTTTGGAGATTGAGTGGCTTGAGGTGTATTTATATTCTCAATAGCTTCATGAGCAACTTTTTGTGTGTCTTCAACTTGAAACATGTAATTTCTCTCTTGTGAGGCTTGGGCTACTCCATGTGGTTCACAATATCCTTTTAGAATAGGACAATCATAATAGAAGTGGGAGATAGCCTCACAATGCACACAATAAAATTTACCCCTTTGTGCATATAATTTTTCTAGATGCTCAATGTCAATGGATGGTGTACGCTCAACATGAGTGCTTAGATTGGATTCAAAACTCATGGGATTGGAAAATTCATAATTGTGACTTGGATGGAAATGATCATGATATGGGGGTGGATAATCAAAGTTATATTGTTGAAATTGATTATGGAAATGGGATGTATGGTCAATGTTAAGCGCTGGAAATGGATGGGAATGGATGTCAAATGAATGATGAATGAATCATGATCATGAAACCAAGCCATAAAATGCAATGAAATTTATATCCACAAGCAATGATTCAAATTCAAGCTCAAAATGATGGAAAGACCAAGGAAGCTCAAATGATATGTCCTTTGCAAGTGTATGAGTGGAAATGCAAGCAAACAAAAATCAAGAGAAATTTTTTTTTTCTTTTTTCTATTAGAATTAACAACAATAAAAATGAAAAAAAAATCAAAAACAACACCAAACAAGTAGAAAGAGAGTTAGAAATGCTCAATCAAGAAGCTTTGACAATTTGGAATTTGCACAGTAGGCTTTCTGGAGATAGTGAACTTGTGGATTTTTTAGCAGCCAATCCATATGAGAAATTCACCTGAAACTTTTATGAGATACACAAGAGATATTCAGAAAAATTATATAAAACTTTCAGATTACAAATCCCTCCCAATCGTTCCCAGAATTTTTCACAAGTTGGTCCACAGGTCTGGAGAAACAGGATTTCGTCCAGAAGACCTTCAGAGCTTCTAACAAACTTTCAAATAGGAAAATGGAAAAATTGAAGAAAATCCTAAACACAAGAAACAAATATAAGACAGTGATAAGAAAAATGAAACTCAAATCAATCAATTTGAACGCACAAAGAGGAAGATATGCTAACTCAAAGTTGAAACAGGGTTTTAGGAATCCTCTGTAATGGCTCCCTGGACCTTGTTAGATTGTAAAATTTTCACAGGACACTTCCCAAGTCCAAAATTGACCAAACCAATTTTAAAGTGAAGCTAAGATATAGAGCTTTCAATGAAATAAATTTCAAGTTCAAATTCCCTCAGACTCATTCCCAGTTAATTTTTCAATTTCAGACAGAGACACTAGAAACAGAGTATTTTCAGCTCTACACCAAACCAACGAAAATTGCACTAATTTTTTTTTTTTCAAAACAGAATAAAAACACTCAAAACACACAAAAAACACTAAACAAAACACAAAACAAAAATTTTTATAATTTTTCAAAAAAATTTTCCAGGAACACTAAAAATGTAAATTAAGTACTAAACAACCTTAGAATTAAACTTAAACCATTCCCCGGCAACGGCGCCAAAATTTTGATAGGAAATTAGTCGCTTATCCTCAAAATTACACTAAAGCTAACCCTAATGCAATATAGGGCCAACCCTAGGTCATCTCCCAAGGAATGGTTTTAAGTCTAATTGAAAGTTATCTAGTGAAATAAATCAACCAAAGTTTGTAGGAATTTAGTTATCTAGCTAATTATCTAAACTAATTACCTAATATGCAAGTAATTAAAATGCTAGTGAAAGTGAGTGAAATGAACTTCCCTTTTTACAATAATGGAACCCTAGAGATTAGTTGATTTTGGACTCATTATCTTCTCATGATTAGGCTAAGTTTAGCTTCCCTTTCTCTTGACTAAAGCTGTCATGACTTAAGAAAATTATCCTAAGCCAATTAACCTAATTAGCTAACCTCCCTAGGTCTTAGATTAAAGTCCCTAGTTCAATTAACCAATTGGTGAAGACATTAGCCAAGTGATTCATTCAAAATCCTCTCTCAACAGCCATGGTCAAACACATAAATTGAGCAACCACAAGATTATGTCAAGCTACTCAACAACACAAGCATTAACACCACAAGATTATGCAATATTAACACAAGAAATTCACTAATTGAAAAACACAAGATTATGTGCCAAACAAAGAGTGGCAAAATTCAGTCATGGCTGTCCAAGGAAGAAATTAAATGAAACAATCCTCTCTCTTTACATCAACATCAAATTCAAATTAGAATTTATAAGCTAAGATGATTAAACCCTAGATTAAGGAATCTAACCATCTAGTAAAAAGAGAAGAGGATAGGAAACAAAAGAACTTAGCCAATTTGAAGCTCAAGACTCATCCTCCATCTTCATCTCTCTAGGATTCCACAAAGAAACTTAGCCAATCTTCATCTTCAAGAACCCTAGTGATTGCTTGTGAAGGCCAAACTCCATAGCTCTTGAATGATGAAAATGAGCTTCAATCCTTGTGAAAATGGAAGGGATGGAACGAAAATGAAGAGAGGAGAAGAATGGTATGAGTTTTGTGGAGGTTTGGTGGCTGAAAATGGAGGTTAGGGTGCTGGAAAATGAAGAACAAAAGAGAGAAAATGAAGAACACTATGAACAAGAGAGAGAGAATGTGGAAGATGAATGAGATATGTGTTGGATCCCATTTGAGGCTTAAAATGGCGTGCTCCTTGGTGTCTCCCATCAGCTGAAGCTTAATTAAAATAAGGAAAAAGAAATTAAAATGTAAATGGGAGCCTTGTCACACTTGCAAGGTGGCAACTTCCTATTGGTTTGTAGATGATTCCAATGTGTGCCTAATTTCCCATGTGTCATCCACATCATTTTAGCTGATTTAACCTCTCAAAATAATCATAATTCACGTGCAAACCATCAGCCATTGACCTCAAGGAGTGTTGACCTCAATTGCCCAATTGATGCACAAGTCACATGCCACCTATGTCACATAAATCACATAATTCAATTAAATAGCATATGATATAATAAAATCTAATTCATGTCCAGAATTAAATTCATATTTAGAAGGGAGAATTTATTAAATTAACCAAGTTTCAGGCTGCACAAAATTATATAAAAATTTTACACAAAGGCAAACCAAAAACTAGGACAAACTAAGACACTTAAGAAAGTGTTGACTTTTTTATTTAATTACTCCCAAACTAAAATGAATTTTAAAAATATAATTTCACCATTCATCAACTGGACATAAAATGCACTTTGTCAATTTTTCTTGTACATTTTCTCAAAAGTTCATTTTTTGGACCAAAATGCCCCTAGTGCACTGATCTTAGAAACTTAGGCAAAGTTCCAAATCTAATGCAATGTGTGCACTTGAAGGTGATAAATAATTAATAAAATGGTCCTAATTGACAAATAAAAGTGGGTAACAAATGTGTTCTATCACTTACCTTACAGGCTATTCAAACAACCATAACAACTTTCTAACACACTCATCCACCCAAATTCACCTTATTGGCTTAACTTTTAGGCCATTTTGAGCCTAAATGCTCAAAGCTTAATTACTCAACTCTATACTAGTTACAAAACCTTAGTTCTATATTTGATATCCCATTTTAAACTTTTCGTTTAGATTAAAAGACCTTAGAGTCTCATGGTTTGATTTCTCAACTGATGAAAGTCAATGAAAAAAGGGTATCATTAAATTTTGGGATTGCGTAATACTTACCCAGAAAGTTATTAATTGAACTAGACTCTTAAGCTCTAGATAATGCTTGCCCTAGTAGAGTTGAACTCTTTTATTCCTCCAAATGCATTACAAGCCTTCTCATTTTTGATTTCATGAGTTGATCATGTTAGCTTTAAGTGGTTTCTGGACGATGCACTATAACGCATGTATCTTCTACCGTGGCATGTGGCACGGTAAGAAAATTCTTACTTGTGTTCATGCATTTTGTCCCAAATTGCCTCTCTACCCTTTCATCTTATCAATATAACACCTAAACAACACAAAACAACATCTTAACATCCAAATCACAATCAATCTTATAACAACTAATTTACCCTTGATTAGCAACTAGTTTCTGGGATTGAAATTTAAGATGTTACATTTTATTAGTGTATATATGTGATGATTATGTGTTGATTGTGATTTGAATGTGAATTGTGTTGTTATTTGAAACTTAACACAAATGGTAAGAATTTGATACAAATGGTGAGACAAAGTCCCATATATAAGATTTGGAAGGTTGAAAGTGGAATAAGTCTAATTATATATGTGAAAATGTATTGTATTTGTGTTTTCCTCATATAAGACCATAATTGTGTAATGTGGCTTTGAGAGGGTAAAATGGGCTATTGACATGATATATGTGGTATGTTATGTCAATCAAGTATATGTGGTCTTTTTGTACTTGATTTAAGAAGTAGTCTAATGGGAT